GAGGCTCCCAGAGGTCGCCCGAAAAGGACTAAAATTGCAGGATTTAAGCTGCAGCCATTGACTGATAAACTGAAAGCGATACGGGACGAGAGTTTAGGGACATCGGTTGGAATTGGCGAACGAGAGCATTTGTCTGACCAATTTAACTAGCGCCCAATGGCAAACAAACCTGCTCGGCTGAATTTTGCGGTGTCCCATCTGTCCCTATGGTAATGGAGCTCTAAATCTGTACGCCGGAATACATTCAGGGACTGAGAGTTCGGCAGGCAGACAACGGATGAATGGTGGACAAACAAACAAGATGCCGAAGGCGCTTATTATTGTTTGCCATTCAAGCATCACCCGGGACTCGCAGTGCGGAACCCAAAACATCGAATCCCCCCGAACGACCACCACTCGACAGGCACTATGGTGGAAATCAAAACAATAGAGGCCAACCCGAAAACTGCGCCAAATGGCCGATGAAATGCGGATGGGGGGAGCGAGGGAAACGAGCGAGGATCCGGAAAGTTCCACTCCAAAGTGCAAATTAAAGTGTGATATTAACTATATGTGGGAAAACTACACGGAAAGTCCATTAATGGTTAAAGAGGAAACCCAAATAAATATGGTCATAAAAAAAAAGTCACAAAAAACCGCTTTAGATTTGACTTATCGATTAAGCATTAATATGCTTTAAAAAAATTAGTATAATAATTTAGAGAAATTAACAGTGTCGTTTTTAACATCTCTGTTACGCTTACTCCGAAATTTCCTTGTCTTTAACATGGGGAACAAAATTTGCCTAAAAGTATGCAACGATTTTTTAAAAAACAATTTCCGTGTAAGATATTGTATGTTTACATGTTAGTGTAAATAAAGTTTTAAGGCCAAGAAATTAAGTCCTTGAAAATGGTTTAGTAGCTAAAACATTTTGTTTTTTTAAATATTTACTTATAATAATATATTTCGTATTAAATAATTTTAATTTTTTTTAATTTTCTATGTGTAAAACTCTTATATGAAATATAAATTTACTTTTTGTGAATACAACTATAAAGCAGCTTAAAAACGAGCCAAATGGGCGTATTTAAACTTCAAATGATTGTGTGGTAATTACCTGTGGGATATCAAACTTTAATTTCGGAGCCCCAAACAGCTTTTAAATGCGTATACGCCGGGTTGTCCGCGCGGAAATACAAGCACGTCGCATAACGAAGCAATTAAAAGGAGAAAGAATGCAAATATCCGGCTGGCCGAAAAGGAGCAAAACGAAGTGAATTAATGTGGCGTCAAATTGAATGACAAGCCGCTGCCCGAAAAGGTGGAAAAAAGGAGCAGAAATGGAATTAAAGATGCTGATGGCGCTGATGAGTGAGGGAGCCAAAGAAATGGGACGACAATTTCATTTCAAAAATGCAAGATGCCGTGATGAAGCTGATAAAAATGAAGTGGATTCCTCCCGGAATTATAAACAGCTGTAAGAGGAGGCTGAGAAAAGACGGCTGCCAGTGCAGTCCACTCCGGATCCGTAACAAGGGTCTGGACACAGACGGCTGGATGGCCGGGAACCCCCATCTTCCAGGACGACGACGACTCTGTGTCACGTTTCAGTTAGTCAAATGAAACGAAGAGAGGTGGACTTTGCTGCGGGCCAGCACAGAGAAAATGATGAACGCAACTACATAAAGTGCTGGGGAGAGTGAAAATTCTATAATGAAGACGCCGGAATACACGCCTTGCCGGCAATCCATTTAAGTTCCGTCAAAGGGTTCTCAATGTCCGCCTGCAGACAGGATCCAAGGAACAACAGCATGAGACAGCATTTTAATTGAAGTTTGCAGACAGCCAATCCTGGCAAAAATAGTTGTACGCACTAGTTAAAGAAAATATTCTTAATAATTCGACAGCATTTGTTTGGGTTTCAATTACATTCGAAAAATTCTGTGAGCCATTTGTTTTCGTAAAGTCATGAATTTTTCATGAATTTCTCTTAAATGATTTTATTGCTCAATATGGGCAGGCAAAACGAAGGCAACAGAAATCCATAAAACAAAATAAATGCTTCGTTAGAAGCTTTTGTGTGCCCTGGGATAATTTAATATTTTCTTTGACACTCGAAATCCAAACAATTCCTTGGGCCATAAATGAATGCTTTGTCATGATTTCTTTCATTACAGACCGACACCAAATGACAAACCACACAAGGAATGCCAAAGTCAACGAACGAATGCACACACATTCTGATTCAGGTTTAATGAGAGTGGAATTCCTGCCACCCCATATAAATTTCGTATATAGTATAGCCCCCGCCAACTATCCAGATCCCAGATCTCTAGAAAAACCACCCCTCCCCCCACATATGTGTGCAAATTATTATCCCAGCCGCATACACATACACATACACAGATAGATATACATTTGAGTGTTGATTTACATTTTTGATTTATTTTATTTATTTAAGCCGCTGCCTTCTGTGTCTCTGTGGGTGTGTCGTCGTCTAGGCCACAGAAATGGCAAAGCAACAAAGCTGGCAAAATTATTGCCGCCCATAATTTTCATGCTCTCATTCGTATATTTTCTTTATTTTTCCCTTTTCGGTTTTTGTGGATTTATCGCAGATTTTGTTCTTTATGTAAGTGTTTTGTTTCTTCCTTTGTCCCACTCGCCCATATTTTAGTATTTCACAGAGCTGAGCTACTTGAACGGAATTATCATTGGCAGATCTGCAAATGCTTCAATAGCTCACAGAGATTTACAAATAGCCCAGTTGACCTCGGGTTCAAATTACTAGACAAACAGCAGTTTAAGAGGGTAGACTTATATTAATAACAGCCTAAGTAATCAATATTTTTGCTGTCTATTTGGGATATTGCTGGGTAACTGGGTCAATCGTCAGTTCAAATTTGAATGTAAAACAAGTTTGGGAGTTTGTCTATTTATCCGACCTCTTGTTATTAGCCACATTCGTTTACTTGCCCAAGTTTAAGTGTGGTAATCAGCTAAAAATCGAATGAGCTTCCTCCCACAACTTGATGTTCGTCCATAAATCAGACTTTATTATTTTACTCAAATTTCAGCTGCACATTTGACTTGAAGCAAGTTTGAATGGGTCAATCATCAGTTAATTTAACCTACTTTGATGCATGGCTTCAGTGCTAAATGGGCCGCAAGCCGTAAATAATATTACAAAGAGGCAGCAAAATTTATTGCCAGTAAAATTTGTGTTAACGGTCAGTCGGTAATTATTTTATTTGCCCTGCGGAATCTGATGTTTTGGCTAGATGTACTGTATACTGTTGTTTTAAGGAGGGAACTCCCACAGACACGGATGGAAATTAACTGTGCAGCTAAGACAAACAAATAAACATTGGAGCACCTCGACCCAAATGAAACGACATCACAGGGTGTTGAACTTAACGAGCCTCCACTGTAGTTCGGTCGAGTGGCTTGTGTATTTTTCATAATTATGTGTGCACATTACTCATGAGCAGCCAAATGCAAACAGGGACAATGCCAGATGCAGAGCGTAAAGTCCGGTACCGAGCAATACAGACTGTAACTAGGCAAACATTTGTCGTATATTATGGCTAATTTAATTGACTTGCCAAGCTTGCTTTTGGCCATGTGTTGTATTGTGTTTGGTTGTCTGCAGCTATGATGGCAGGAGAATTCGATACCTCATGTTTGCCTGTGCGTGCGGTCCCTTTGATGTTCTGCAGACTCGTTGAAGAATGTCCTTATTGGCAATACAAGTGCTCCGAAATGCCAGACGGCAAAATATCAAGGACAATCAACGGCATTAAAGAGGTGAATTGGAGAAACTTTATGAACTGTATATTGCTTATGGAAAAATACAAACAAAAGCTATGTCTAAACAAAAAGCAATACAGAATAGCCGATAAAGAATTTCGCAAAATTATTTCAAGCACAGACGAAATTAAAGGGGTGGAATGAAATAACTTTATGAACTTTTTATTGAGTATAACAAAATTACACAAAAATAGGTTGTGTGAAATAAACACTGTAGAAGAAGCTCTTCTAGTCTACTTATCAAAAGTTTTTTAAAGAAAACGGCTTTGAAAGCTAAAGTAAATTGTATATATAAAAAACAATTTTAACATAATTAAAAAAAATACATTCTTGGAATAATATCTACTCTACAACATGTTGAGGAATATTTTATCCACTTTTCAAGGATATGTATTCAATCCAATAGACCGAAATGGAATTCTCAAGCAGCTTGGAAAACGCCATTCCCAGAAAACCGAACCCATTCCTCGGCGGCCTAGACGACATCTTCCATTTCTGGTGCAAATGTTCTGGGGAAAATATGTGAGGGCATGAAATACCTCCTTGTGGGCCCAGCATGCTCTATATTCACTTAATTATAGATGCGACACGCACAAATTCCGGCCCTTCTCGGTGGGTATTGTTATGGGTCCATGTCCCAAACTGGGAACATATTTATGTGCCTGGCAGTGACCCTCTGGGATTCCTAGGCTCCTTTTGTCCATTTCATGATGGGACACGAAGCTACAATAAAGTAGCAATTACCACAAGTAGTAACACATGCAAATAGCCAGCATAGGGTCCTCAAAAAACCTTTTAGGTATTTGGCAGCTTGACTACCAATTGCTAATTGGTTTCTGGAGGGACACGTGAAAAGGGTAGTTATGATTGACATATTCCCAGAAGGAATTCTTTACAGAAACACAAGAGTAAATACAAAGTTCTATAAAAAACTGTTTTTCGTTAAATCGAGAATTTTTGGAAAAGCAGCAAAAAATTTGTATGGTATTATTTATCACTCATACGCACTGTTTCCAAAATTTATTGAAAAAAGCATAGCTTGGTTTTCGTTTAATTAAAATTGGTTTTGTATACCCGCACAATGCCAATCAATTGGTATAAAAAAAAAACCTGGAAAAAGCCTCAAGTTAAGTTCAACGGTTGGCACTGGCAGGATTGCACAAGTTGCTGAATATAAAAAAAAAATGAACCACATCTGCTGCACTTACCATTCACATCACACGTTCAATCTGTTCACTTTGCTGGAGTTTCACGTAGTTAACCAAACAAGGATCGAAAGGCTGCAAAAAGTGCAGGGCAATTTTTTTTTTATAGCACAACCTCCACTCTGCAGTTCAGCCGGAAAAGAATATGAAACCGCGGCAGCTTTGCTTAACTAAATTTTGTTGTCAAAACTTCAATTGTTGGCGGCCTCCTGCACGGAAAGTTCGGGCCAAAACATTTTGACAGGCCCCGGATAGAATGAAGAGTGAAGGGGGGCGAGGGCCAAAAAAACTTTTGCGGAACAGGACCAATGTGTGAGGATCCGAATGGGCTGAGATTCAGTTACGAGCGCACTTATCTATCACGTCTAACTTTGGAGCACTTAACAACACTTGAGCGAAACTTTCTACTAACCGCATAGACAAAGACATGGACTTCTTTTGGCAAATATGTTAGGCCGTTAACTGTGGCTAATTCGTGATTGAGTTCCCTCACTCCACTCCACACTTAACTAAACTTTCCCTTTACTGTTCTGACCACGGCAATGGTTTTCCGAGCGACTCGTAAGCCGAGCTAGCAACCGCCTCGTCGAAGGAATCGCCGCAAACTGTCTGAGCGTGTCCGAGTCCCCAGACAGCAGACTGTTGGCCCGGTCCTTGCCAGTAGCCAGCATCCTGCCGAATCCTCGGCCGAGGAACATCGCCGCCGTTTATGAATGGGGCGATGTTTGTGGAACGTTTCGGCAGCGAAACCCATCCCGCGCATGCCCACACGGCGTATGCAAGATTTATGACAGTTGCGCTTGGCCCGAAATACATCGAAAACACGTGGCGATACCTCCAACAAGTGTGATAAGCGTGATAACGCCCGAACGCAAATTCCACTGTTTTTTCGCAGCTCTAGGTCGGCGATTGTCTGAGGTCAGGGACGATGACCGCAGACCGCTTACACAAAAGGCCAGAGGCACTTTTGATTGCAACAGAAGAAATCTGTACTACTACTAGATTAGCTTTATAACTATCAATTAAATTGTTAACTTATTAAAGACCATAGAGAAAATATATTCAGCATTTTTCATATATGTTTCTCAGCTGTAGCGTTTTCTTTTAATTAATAGTTTTGAAATTTTTAAATAGTTACATTAAAATCTACCCAACATAACACTCTTTCAATTGTCTTATTTTCTAGGTATTATCTTAAAATTAAGTTTAATATTTATGATAGAATTATATTTTACATTTAATAAAAAATGTTTTTTTCTCGGTTCATAGTTTAAAATCTATAAAATAAAAAATTTAAGTAAATAAACTTTTATTTAAAATAAAATCCCATTTGTACAATATATAATAACAATTTTTTTGAACTCGATCAGACCAACATATTTAATTCTAGGATTATAAATTAAAAGTCAGTTTAATATAATATAAAACTAATATTTAAAGTAGTCTGTGTAAAAACTGATAAGCGTTTTCTTAGCAATTTCCATATCAGTGAATTTAATTAAATTCAACATTGTCTATCTAAAAATGTTTAACCTTTTCAAGGAAACTTTAAGTTCATTGAGAAAACAAACGTGTCGTAATAAGATAACTTTTGGCAAAATACTATTTCTTATCATTCGTTGTCAGCCGATACAGTTATGCAATATTTTGCACTTAGGATATCTTTTATGAACTATCCTGGATTCCATACTTATCGCAGAATTGAGCATAGGTGCACATTCATTCAGAAATACTGGTGACGGAAGAGGAGATAAGCAGTCAAATAATAGTAATTCCTTATCAGGCATCGACAGCTAATTCAATTATGTAACACTTTGCACTCGAAGTGATGTTAATTAATTAAACCGGCACTGCAATGTGGCTGCTTGGCTAGCATCTCATCAATCCGACAAACATGTGGTGTGATCACTTGGGAGATTGAAGTCCTTATTTCAAGGGGTGTGGGGAGGGGGGAGGGGGGGTGTGGCTATCTGAGGATGTCTCATTATAATGCGCATTATTAACTGACGTCTCATGTCACGCCCGAGTAGGCAAAGCGACCACTTTGTGTGAATCCGCCAGAACGGACAGCCAAAACCGCCAATCAAATCGATTGGCATTCGCCGACACGGAACATGTGCTCATGTCCTGGCCGAAAATCAGAAGGACTTAAAGCTTTAAGATGCTGACTCTCTCTTTATTTGCATGCCAATCGACGGGAGCATCTTGTCCGGGGTCCTCTTCCTTTTCCTTATGCATTTTCATCGTGCTCCGCTCATTTTGCCAAACAAATTCAGAAACACTTTAAACTATTTTGCTTGCTTTTTGGCCGTTTCTGTCTGTAATTTCATGTTAATATATGCATGCAGGGCGAACTCCAGGGAACTTTTTCCTGGGGGGGAGGCACCCGCGTTTTGTGGGACGCCGACACACAATGCAAATAGCGCAACAGGGCGTGGCCCCGCCCCAAAAATATTACAACCATAATAAAATGCCAAGCGTTGAGTTCATTTAAAAGGGAACTATTTCGGTGAGTCCTTTTCGAAAGGAGCCCAGAGAAAAATTAAAGTTGAGTTGAGAACTAAGTGTAGGTTAAGCAGACCAAATAATTATAGAGAAGTTTCTACATAAAGCTGCAAATAAAATAATATAAATTATATCTTGTGATTTACCTTTGCCTATAAAGTTACCTACCAATATATACAAACTGATCAAATTGCCTTTAATTTCATACAAAATGATTACTAAGAAATTTTTTAATGCCGATTATCAAACTCTTAGTCTTAGCCACATTTATAGTATTACAACTTAACTAACACCTACTAAAGGTTTACAATACATTTGCATATCAAATATTTTGGCTTCCTTATTCGATATAAAACAAATCTTGAAGATATAACCCACTTAGTCATGGCTTATTCACCCGATAATCGAAGGGGTTCCTGGCACACGCCGTTGCCATGGCACTTAAAAATACGGAAGTCACTCTCTCTTTTGAGCGGAAATTAAAAAAAATTGGCTAAAAGTAGATTAGACGAGCCCACAACTGAAATCAGCTGATGTTACCATAAATCTTCGGCTTATTTTGTCCAAACTTTGGACTTCACGCGTGTGCCGATTGGTGCTTAATTGATATGATAAGCGGGCCATCAAGGCGATATAAAAAGACAATGTAAGAGCTCTTTGGCACTCAGTTGCGAATTAAAATTGGACTAGCAAAATGCCGACAAAGGCGGTTTTCCCCACCTTCTACAACAAGGAGACCAAGATCTGGAGTGGTCCGCCCAGGCCCACGGTGTACGACCACAACACCTCCGTTGGCCAGATCATCTTCAACTCGCTGAGGTGCTGGCCCACCAATGTGATTCAGGTAAACGCTTGAGAAACGAGGATATTCCATAATTCGGAGTCTGATGAGCTCGATTATATAAAAGTAGATCACCGACGACGATGGCACCGTTCTGACCAACGCCGACATGCTGACCTACGCCACCCGCATCGCCCTGTTCTTCAAGAGCGAGGGCCTGACCCAAGACGACCGGGTCGGGATCATCGCCAACTCCAGCACCTTCGTGATCCCCGTGGCCACCGCCTGCTTCTTCCAGGCCACGCCCTTCCACGCCGTCAACTACTCCAGGGAGCCTGCCATCATCAAGGGACTCTACTTGGTCACCAAGCCCAAGATCATGTTCATCGACGCCCCCGACTACGAGAAGATCAAGGAGATCACCAAGGAGTGGTCCCCCAAGCTGATCACGCTCACCGGAAAAGTGGAGGGCGTGCCGAGCATCGAGGATCTGGTGAAACCCCATCCCGCCGAGAAGATTTATGTGTGAGTCCATCGGGGTTGTCCTTTAAATGTACATAAATGTACATATTATAGATAATATGAATATTTGACTAGGATCATTTAAAATATCGTAAGATCTTAGAAACATGATCTAAATCAAAAAGAATTCTAGTAATTAGTATTCCAATTTTTTCATTAATTGCTTGGCATTAAGAACTATATCGTTCAATATTTTTATTACTCCAAAGATTGTATGAGATCACTTTTATTCCAAAATGATTATTTAAATCGTACAAACAGTTAACGTATATTCTATTTATTCGTTTTTAAACCTTTTTTTCGTAGAATAACCATATTTAATGATATTTTTTTGGAATTATATTTTTTTACATCTACTTTAAACTTTTCTTTAAGTACCGAATATAGTCTTAGTTTTAGCCTTTTGAAAGGACTTTCCTTAATTGGTTCCCATGGTATTGGTTCCATGGTACCCATAAAGTGTATTAAAATTACCAAAATGCCCTTAACGAAATGGATGAAAAATCACAATAGTTTAACAAAAGAAGTTTCTTGCCTCCTTGCTTTTTTCTCTCTATTAATGTATAACTTTTACCATTTCCAGCCCCGTTTCCTTGGCCAATGGAGGTGACCAGGTCGCCGTGGTGCTCTGCTCCTCCGGCACAGCTGGCCTTCCCAAGGCAGTGGCCCTCTCCCAGCGCCACATTGCATCCACCAACTCGTGAGTTCCAAGGAATCGATTAGGTATTCCCCTCTAAACCGTATTATCTTGACCTGCAGGCTGTGCATCAGTACCGATGTGCTGTACACCAGTGCCACCATTGACTGGATGACCGGATTCTCGATTACCGTAATGAATCTCATTTGTGGCTTCACTCGCATCATTTCAAGCAAGACCTTCACGGCGGAGACAGCCCTCGAGTTGGTCAGCAAATACAAGGTCACCTGTCTGGCGATGGCTCCCTGGCAGGCCTATGAGTTGTACACCAGTCCACTGGCCCTTCCGGAGAAACTGCAATCCCTGAGCATATCCTTTGTGATTGGTGGCTGGATATCGCTGGCCCTGCTGCGAAAGGCCCAGGAACTGATGCCCAAGACCTACATCATGTTCTCCTACGGAACGACAGAAACTGGCGTGGTGACCATCAACATCGATCATGGTCTGGAGTGCTCGGTGGGCAGACTGGCACCGGGAATGAGGATCAAGATCCTGGGCGAGGATGGCCAGCAGTTGGGCGCGAATCAGACGGGCGAGGTGCTCATCGATATCGGTCTGAAGTGGGAGGGCTACCTGTCGAATCCGGAGGACACACTGACCACTCTCCAGGATGGCTGGATCAACCTGGGCGATCTGGGCTATTTCGATGAGGACAACAACCTGTATCTGGTGGATCGCAAGAAGGATCTGCTGAAGTACAAGTCCAAGCACTATTGGCCCAACGAGATCGAGCAGATAATCGCCGAACTGCCGGAGGTGGAGCACGTCTGTGTGGTGGGAGTTCGGGATGCGAGATATGGCGATGCCGCCGGAGCCCTGATCATCAAGAAGGAGGGTGCCGAGATCGCCGGACAAAAGATCATCGACCATGTGGCCCAGCGGGTGGTGGTGGACTACAAGCAGCTGAATGCGGGCGTCATCTTCGTCGACCACTTCCCCAAAAACGCCAACGGCAAGGTCATGAGGAGCTTGGCGCGCGAGGTCTTCGAGGAAACCACCAAATAGGCCTATCTTCCAATACTATTTTAAATAATATTTTACAAATTGAGTTACCTGCTTTTAATGTAAAGAAAAACATAAGTCTTTGTCGTTCGTGATAATTAAAATGTACATTTGGTTTTAGTTTATGTGTGGCGTTTTATTATAAATCGATATTTTATTAAATTAAGTACTTACATTTTTAATGGGTAACCTAAGTTTAATCTTTTATTAGTCGATGACTTGCTTTTATTTTGATTCGGTCTGTTTTGACTTCTTTGTTATTAATGATAACTAAAATTAAAATTTGCTTTTAGTTTATGGTCAATGGATAACAACTCACTTTTTTTAAAGGTCTATACTTTTGTTAACAATGACTTGCGTTATTTTTAGTCTGCAATGCCCTTAACTTTATCTTTTTAATTAAATTAAAAATGAAAATACTTAAAGCTTAAAGCCAGATAAGATATGGCTGAAATCCAAAAGAATGCTATCAAAATATTTGTCTACTTATCTATAATATATTTTTGTAGAAACTGAAACCAGAATAAGCCAGAATAAGACAATAATATATGGATAATAAATCATTAAGATCCCAATTTAAGTAAAGTAAATAAATTAGGCGGCTTAATTACCGTATATAGCCGGCTATATATAATCACCGACCACTGCTCATTTCATTTAATTCAGTTGCACTACTTTGAATAGCATTTTAACCACGTTCAAGTGCGGCCATCAACGTGGTTTTCCGGTTTCAAAAGTCCGAATAATGGTGAGTTTCCGTGCAAAAATGCAAATCCCTCGCCTGATCCTTTTTGGTATATGAACACCTTTTGTCACAGCAGCGGCAGCGGGGAAATGCCACCATTTTACGGTTATGGAAATGAAAATGTCTGGCAGTCCGATTGCAATAATTTACCATCCGGTCGATGGTGGCATTTTGTGTTTCCGGTTGCGTTCAACGCCATAGCAGCCGCTGTTTCCGCCGCACGCGGTACAATCTGCTCGATTTCCCTGCTTTTTCTGGGACTAGGCAAAAAGTCCCCACTCGAATGTCCTGTTTGCTTTTATCTGGTGGCTTCTACTAGTCTTCTGTTTCACCATGCACTCGCATTGCATTCTTGGCTTGCCTTCGTCGCCATCGTAAATTATTCAAATTTTAAGTCGTAAATAAACGCGCATAAACATAAGCACAATCGTTGTTTTGTTGCCGGCCTGCTTTTGAAAACGGGCAACGCCCACAGGACAACTTTTCAGCTCCGGGATTCCAGGCTCTCATCTCCGTCTGCGGATGCCACAAGTCTCTCGAGAATTCAGTGGCAAATTGCTAAAATCGCCGGCTTCCCATTTGCGTTTGAGCTGGCTTGTGGGAATCCCCGGCATTATTCTGCGGTGGCAGCAGCAATTGATATCAAAGTTTAATGCAGCCAGCCGCTCAGAAAACGTTTTGGTCAATCATTTGGGGGTTTCCAAATATTCCATGTTGCACCAATAAGTTGGTAGATATTTCAAGCACATTAATGTTTAATATCTAGTATCCCTAAATTTAAAAAATATTATTCATCATAAAGCGAACTCTTTACGTATCAATTATAATTAGGCAAAAATATAAATTGACTATAAATTTATAAAACATATTGTAGTTTGACCACTAAACCACTTAACCACTTAACCGTAAACCGTAATTTACAAAGAAATGATTGTTGTTTTATATATCATTATGTATGTGAAAATCATTTTAAATTACTCATTAATATTAGTTAGTTTAAAAGTAATTGAATTGCAATCAAAGCACGCATTTAAAATTGAATTCGAATTTGATTAAAAGTATAAAACTGCCATTTATTCAATTAGTTTAACTAAATAAATACAAAATAATATGTATACTTTAATAGTGTCTACCTTTAGCTAAACCGTTTTGAAAGGATTTTGAAATGTTTAAAACTTTAAGTGGCGTTTCCAAAAGTGATTGACATTTGGCCAAAGCAATGGGTGATTTCCGATACGGTTCGCTTGGATTGCTGACAGCCATAACATCCATTCTCGAGCGAGGACTCTACAGATCCTGGCATTGATGCCTGCTGAATGGACTCGGGTCTCAAGACTCAAGACTCTTGACTCGCCACCCAGAGGCAATTGTTTGATTGATGGACACCGAGCTGGAGGGTTTCGATTGCTCGCTTAACTGAGCGACGTGGCAGCCAAAGTCTTTATCTGCAGAGGACACTCGAGAAGGCTCGATGAAGGTCGATGGCAGGACCAAACATCAACTCCACCACCCACATCCGGCTTTAATCACTCACCCACTCACTAATTATGCCATCGCCGCAGGCAAGTACACCTTCCTCACAAACGATGTTTACATGCAATTACCGTTGCAGTGTTCCGCTGTCAACTCGAACGCTATTTTCCATTGTTTATTACATGCTGCTCGCAGCCCATCTCGATTCGGTTTGGGGGCACTAAGTGCATGAGTGGAGTATCCAGGTGGCGATTCGGGGGATTCAGGTGGCTCTGTGGCTCGGGGTCTCCACTGGACTGGGTGCTCGTCCTGTCGGTGGCATTCTTAATTGCATTGCTGCCGGCCATGTATCATCGCAGTGCCATTTCTGTTTCTCTTTCGGCTGCAGCTGGTAAGGTAAAAATGTTCATCGCTAATGTCGCAAATGTTTGCTGTTGGCTTATGACTCCACTCCTGGCCAAAACACGAAACAGAGCCAACTGGCGAAGGAAGCGAATGTGGTTGAAAAAAGCAGGTTAATTTAATTGCTGCATTCCCGAGTTGTCATCGTTATTTTAAAGTCTCTGTTTTGTAGTCATAGTTTGGATTCTAGAATATTTAAGGGCTTACATGACTAATATAAAATATGATCAAGGTCCAAAGATGTATGCAATTTTTTTATAATGTACTTAAATTATTTGTTCTTATTAAAAATAAAATACTCTATTATTATTATAATGAGATTATAGATATTAACTATAATTTAAATTATCACGATTTTTTGAACTTTATATAACATCATTTTGAAATTGGTTTACCCTTTTTAATATAGCTTTCCTACCTTTTCTGACCTCTTTTTTTACCTACATAATAATATAATGGGATACAAAAATACAAACCAGTTTAAAATAAAGGATCTGACTTTAAAATAAGGAATTTAATGTACATACTGCTAGAACCCTAAATATTTTGAATAGAAAATCTGTTTGAATTTCAAATTTTTCATGAATTTATTTAGGGACTTCATAATTCTTCAACACCAATCTTGGCTAATTCATAATTCGGATAACAGATTTGATAAGTTAATTAAAATGCGAAGATTTACTTGGAAGGGTGATAGAATCCCCAGACATTTTCGAGGAAGAATTACAGCCAAGGCAATTTAAGTTGTTAGGCACCAATGAATTATTCATTGCCGCTCGTTGTCCTGGCCTACGCGTCGATGATTAAATCAAATGGCTTCCAGCCGCAGTCAGTGCCCCTTCGGAACTCAAAAACACACCCAAGGTCGCCGCCCACACAGCCACACACCCACCGGTCATCCTTATCGCGAGGAGATGTGCAAATGATGCCCCCGGGCCAAATTACCAAAGTATTCAGCTGCCTGGCAACTGTCAGCGATTTCAAGGGGTTAATTGTGGCGCAACCCGCTTAATTCACTGGGATTTTCTATTTGGTAAAGGTCCAAGACGGGAGGAAGTCAATTCCAGCTTTCTATTCGCAGTTCGTTGCCTTGAAGGGAAACAAACAAACAAACTTCCAACTGACTGGAGCCAAAGTAACAAAAGGTCCGAGAAGGTCAAAGGTTGCGGATTCGAAAAACAAAGAAATAAATAGCAGTCAGTATAGACATTTATTTGCCAGCAACGAATTAAAGTTTTTTTGATTAGATCACAGGTTTTTCGGAAGTGGCCTGCATATCGAAATTCTGCGAGAACAGAGAAGTTTGGGAATTTTTTGGCATTCGTAACGGTTGCATGGGCCAGAAATTGAATGGACATTTTCATTCAGCAGCATTCTGCCCATTTCGTTTTGATTTGGATTTCCATTTTGGTGCATTGGCCATTTGCTTTTAATAAAAATTCATCAAAAGCCAACAAAAAGGCAGAGGCAGAGGCAGCATCAGAATCATGTGCGCCAGAAGTCATAAAAAGGGGTTAAAACAATGGCGAGCGTGCAACCGGAAACGGAAGTCGACGCAGACAAACACCAGATACGAAAGGGCGCCATGGTGAAAGGGAAAAGGAAAAAGGAAAAAGGATAAGAGGCGGGCCAAGGCTCAAATGGAATACAAGTCGAGAGCAGAAGCTGTAAAGAAGAAGCCCAAGCAGCAGTGACAGCAGAAATAAGCTGCCCTTTTTTGTCTTCACAGTTTTCTGAGATGATTTTTAAATAAGCAAGCAAACAGAGTACATACCTCTGTATTTTTATGGCATTCCAATTTGAGGAACAGAGAGAGAGAGAGCAATGTGGTAACAACAAGAGATCCTTTGGGCCAAGGACTAATAGGCAGGGCCTTGACAACACGTCCTGGATGTGGAGCGAAACGAGATGGCGAAATGGCAGCGCCCATAAACGAAAATGTGTAAAAAGCTCAAGCGGCACTAAAGGATTCACCCCCTTTCCCCCCGAATTCCCATATCCCCCACCAACCAAAATGGGGCGAATAGGTGCATAATGGCCGCCTGACACTGTGGGCAGATGTCAACATGTGCTTTTATTATCAGAGAGTGCACCACCACCCTCCACTCCCCTCCCCCCATCCTTTGTCCACGTGGCCACGTGGCAGGACTCGAAATGCAACTTAATTAAGAGCCGAAAAAGCGGCAAAGGAAACTGCAGCTGGCATCTGCGGCGGTTAATGCCGGACGGCCATAAATCTGCCGAAATGCACTGCAAGCACCAGAGATCTGGAAACTGGGAACGTGGGGCTATATAAATATACGACTACGACTGGCAAGCGATAGCCAAGCGAATGGCGACTTTTATGACCCCCTCCGAAGCGAGTGAATTAAATGCGAGGTAATTACATATTATAAATGTGTTTAGTTCGGCGATAGTTTGCACTAAAAGAAAGCTAGTTATCACAATGTATTCGCCAGGCACATAAAGTCACACTGGCAAAAAATACCAGTAACTTTGAAAGAATTTTCTTGAAAGCTTTTATCTAAAAGACTTAAATATAACTTTCCCTACATATAAGTAACATGAAAATGGGTTAAAATTTTGACCAACGTTAAAATGACAAATTTGAATGCAGATTTTTAGAGAATCAAAACACGAGTCTTAAGAGGTATGCCACTTTGGAATCGGATTGTATTTGGTAAAGTTAGAGAATCTGGAAGTCCAATTATGGGACCCCTTTTTTCAAGTCATCGAAAACTTAGAAATAACTAACATGAAAATGGGTTAAAATTTTCACCAACGTTAAATTAAAAATTTTGAATGCAGATTTTTGGAGAATCAAAACACGAGTCTTAAGAGGTAAGGCCTCTTTGTAATCGGATTAAATTTGGTAATGTTATGGGTTACGTATTCACAAGTGATCGGAGTTAGTCTTGCAAGTAAAAAATAAATTAGCTTTTAACAAAATCATTAGTAAAGAACAAATGTTGTTGTTTATTCAATAAATGGACAAATATGTTAAATAATGCGATTCCGGAATATTTGATTTATGCCTTAGTTAATTTTGATTTTTATACCCTTGCAGAGGGTATTATAATTTTGGTCAGAAGTTTGTAACGCAGTGAAGGAGACGTTTCCGACCCCATAAAGTATATATATTCTTGATCAGGATCAATAGGGGAGTCGATATAGCCATGTCCGTCTGTCCGTCTGTCCGTCTGTCCGTCTGTCCGTCTGTCCGTCTGTTTCAATACCGTTTGTGAGCTCAGTTTAAAAGCTAGCGATCTGAAACTTTCACACGCGTCCTAAAACATGTGTACGCAGATCAAGTTTGAAAATCGCCCCGATCGGACGTCTATATCCTATAGCTCCCATAGGAACAATCGGATATATCTAGCAAAAATTGATGATATTTCGCTCAGTGTAAAAGCTATTGACATGAATTTTTCCAAATCGTATTTTTTTATGCATACCTTGATCAGGGTAAAAGCGCGTGGCAATCGGACGTCTATATCCTATAGCTCCCATAGGAAAAATAGGGTAAAATCGGTCCAAATTTTATGTTTTTCAGAATATTTCGCGCTGTGTAAAAGCTATTGCTATAAATTTTTTCAAATCGTATTTTTTTATACATTCCTTCATCAAGGTGAAAGCGCGTGCTGATCGGACGTCTATATCCTATAGCTCCCATAGGAACAATCGGATATAACTTTCAAGAATGGAAGATATTTTGTGCAGTGTAAAAGCTATTAACATAAATCTTTCCAAATCTTATTTTTTTATGCATACCTTGATCAGGGTAAAAGCGCTTGGCGATCGGACGTCTATATCCTATAGCTCCCATAGGAACAATAGGGTGAAATCGGTTAAAATTTAATGATTTTTAGGATATTTCGCACAGTATATAAGCAATTGACATAAATCTTTCCAAATCGTATTTTTTTATGCATACCTTGATTATGATAAAAGCACGTGACGATCGGACGTCTATATCCTACAGCTCCCATAGGAACAACAGGGTGAAATCGGTCCAAATTTGATGATTTTCTGAATTTTTCGCGTAGTGTGCGAAAGTATCCCTTTTTTTCTATTTTTATATGACATTTTTGCAGTATAAAAGCAATTGACATTAAACGATGAAAATCTAGTTTATTTATGTATACCTTATTCCTTTGGCTACTTTTTCAGTTTTAGCAATTTCGGCAAAGTCTGCAAGGGTATTAAAACTTCGGCTTGCCGAAGTTAGCTTCCGTCCTCGTTTTTTTCTAGAATTAATTTATTTTTGTAAATATTTTTAATTCTCGTTTTCAAGACGTTCGCACACGGCCCTTACGAACTCGGAGCACTTGGCCTTGCCGCCCACATCCGGGGTGCGGATGTCCGTGTCCCGGTAAACCCCGCGAACCGCGCACTCCACCAGATCCGCATGCTTGTCCAACTTGACGTGGCGCAGCATGAGGACGGCACTGAGCAGGGGTCCCGTGGGATTGGCCTGATCCTTGCCAGCGAGGGCGTGGCACGCCTTCATGCGGCAGTCGAACACGGTGCCCAGACTGCTGACGGAATATCCGGGACATATGCCCGGCACTCCCATCATGCCGCCCGCAATGACCCTCATCACATCGCCGTACATGCTGGACGAGACCAGGACGTCGCACTTCTTCGGCGTCATCAGGATCTTCATAATGCAGGAGTCTAGGTAGCGCTCCTCGAATTTAATTTTGTCCACAAACTTTTCGGCCTGGGCTCGCATGGCCTCCAGGAAATTGCCATCTGTTAACCGCATTATATTGGCCTTGTGTGCCACCGTGATCTTTTTGCGATTGTGCTCGGCGGCGTAGTTAAACACGAATTCGGCGATCCTGGCCGCTCCGGTTGTAGTGCTCACCTTAATCGTTTGCATGACACCCGGAACCACCCGGTGTTCGATGCCGGAGTAGTCGCCCTCCATCTGATCCCGGATGATGACCACGTCGAAGTCACCATATGGCGAGTCCAAACCGTCGATGTGGGAGCACAAGGACACGTAGGCGAACTGGGCGAACTGCTTGCGGATCTGGCGCTGCCAGTGGCGACTCTCCACGGGTCCTTTGATGCCCACCTTATTGGCCCGCAAGGAGTCCAGGATTTCGGCGGAAACATCTTGACTATCCGGTGCCATGTACTCCTCATGGATGTCCCAATCGATTGGGACCTTGGCGGCGCAGAGAACTTCCTGCACGGCATTCATCAGTTCGGGACCCACACCCTCGCCATTGATTATGGTCACCTTGGTGACCTTCTTGGCAGGGTCACCCTTGTCCGTTTCCTTACCCTTTTCCTTCGGCGCTTCCTTGGGCTTTTCCTTGGGATTTTCCTTGGATTTTTCCTTGGGCTTCTCCGGTGGCTTTGCCTTGCTGACTTCGCTCGTCTTCTGATCCTTTGACTGATTCTTACCAGAATAAAGTCGATAAGCACCGCCCACCGATCTGAGGTGACCCAAACGTAGCCTCCGCACGGTGTTCATTTTTGAAAATTTGGCCCAAAATTTAAATTGTGACTGGAGAGGATTTGTTTGCTTGGGCTACGTGTTCGGCCATCCCCGAAAACACTTGGCTGCAAATTGATTTGGCAGCATTTCAATTGCCTGCTCATAAATTCCCGCGAAATATGTCTTGGCAGTGCAAGCAACTGGGTCACCAGAGGATTTAAAAGTCGTCCACCGCGCTTTAATGTGATTCCCCGGGCACCTGAAATCCAGGCAATTTCCAGGTGGTTTGGTGTGGTGTGGTGTTTCTGCCTGCGGCTGTGTAAATGTGACAAATGGCTTGTCAACGGCTGTGGGCCGAAACCCAAAAGGCGACTGCTGGCGACAGACAAATGTCCGGACCGCCCTCCTCCGCCCGAGGGGGCGTGGCAATTATGAGACTGTCGGCTGTGATTTTTCACCAGGGGCGTGGGCAAACGAACACCATTAAAATCGACGACCATTAAGAGCAGACCACAGGTTGTGTTATAAATATTCAGTAATTATTTCAACCCCCGGTTGATTACAATTTAAGAATTATAAATGAGGTTTTCGCCACCATTTTATCTACTGGTAATCATCGAAAACAATCTATTAACTTTTTACGACATCTTCAATTCACTTTTACGAGACAGAACCGTAAATCCTTGAAATAGTATCTCACAGAGATATCGAACAAAAATGGGAACTTACTTGAATGTGTTTGTCATCCCGTGCTTTACTATCATATTTTATCGCGTATGGCCTCTATATTGACAACTTCCTGCACATAAAAACCAACAAAGTGCATTTCGCCAACAAAGTCGGTGCAATGAATGGCCAAAACTTAGCAAAGTTTGTGTAAACATTGGCCAAAAGCAAACTGAGAGGAAGCACACTTACAATGTGTGAGCCCGAACTATTATTAACCCCAGTTCATTGTTCAGCAAATTGAAAGTTATATCCAGTCGATGGGAGGGGTGATTGCCGGGGACCGAGGGACAAAGGCCTTGAAATGTGACTTCTTGACTGACATATTCAATTCAAGGACCTGTCTAGGTGTCAGTGTATTTGTTAAGATTTTATTGATATTCACAAGGCTTCTTAGAGATACCTTAATACTTTTTCTATGAAACTTATTTGGCCTCTTAGGTGTTGATATTGATATTCTATTGATATTCTATTGTGCACTTTGTTAAGTTATTTATAGAAATAAATACTAAATATGGACTCTGGATGTTTGTACGCTAAATATTATTGTGCCCAAATTTGTTCTTCATTCTTTATTATTATTTATATAATCGTGTATAAATAATTTTATTTTTAAATGGCGATTAAGTTTAAATTTTGCCCAGTGCATGTTGAAAGTATCCGTACCAACCTTCAATGAGTCTCAGGAGCTTTTCTAAGCACCTGCACTTAGAAATCGTTTAAAATTGTTGCAAGTAATACCAGTCGGTTGCCTGGAAGGAGAAGACAATATAAATGCATGGCTTATTTACAAGTTGGGTGCTCCTTCGAGTGCATACATAATTCGAGCCACTGTGTGTGTAGTATTATATATGCGGATGCATTTGACGAAGGACGTTTTGCTGAAAGCAGAGGGAAAAACGGCGTAAGTGAATTACTTTTCAGCATCTGCGAACTCATTGAAATCCACATCGGGCCACTCACACATGTAAGCTGATCTGTGGGACTACTTTCCCTTGCGGAAAGGGAATCTCTATTATATAGTAGTTAGTTGAGTGCAGTCTGATGATAAAGCAATCTGCAGCCAGCTTTACCATATATATCAAGGTTATTAGGGTAAATGCTGGAATGAGCAGTTATGATCCGATGATTTTCATTAGCCCTTCTCTGCGCTCATGAATTATGCATGCCCAGTTTATTTATTTCAATGGGCTACATGTTGATTTAAGGCTTTTCAGGCCTCGCCCCTGGCCAAAACAACTCTTGCCAAAATATTGGCAAAGGAAATAAAAAGAGTTTTTCACACCCAAAAGAACTGGACAACGGACAGATTTTGGTTGTTTATGTAGTCAGGGGACGTGAAACCCTTTTTGTCAATGAGAGTTGGAAATTTAAGACGGGGATGCGGAAAAAAAAGAAGAAAAATCGGAGAAAAATACTGTTGCATATTTGATTGTCTCGTTCAATATTTACATATTCGGACTCGTCAGTTTCGCTTTTCTTTCTTGTCTTTTCTGGGCTTACGCTTCGTTTGTTTTTGCCTCACCAACGTCGTCGTCGAATCCCCTCCAGAGTCAAGTTATCGACTCCTGGAGGGCAGGAGATCCAGTGGCATCCGGCTGAAATCAGAATTTGCATTTCTATTGTTGCCCTTTGTTTCTTGTGTGCATCTCATCGAAGTGCGGTTGGCCAGGTAAAAGCGTGTGAATACCAGCACCTGTTTTTGGCCAGCAATTGGAGTTGCATGGCACAGAAAAAATGGGTTAAAAACGGTATTTTCGACACGCACCTGATACCCAGGATCAAGTGGAACATTGGATATAACCGGGCTTACTCTCACCAACAGTCGATTATTTATTGCCGGCAAAAGAATAATCAAAAACCTAAAGCGGCAATGCTTTTTGTGGGTCACCTGTGAAAAAATAATTGAGCATTTGATTGCCGAACACGGCCAATATGTATTTATTTATAGCTCTGGCTTGGCATTAATTACAAAATGTTATTTGCACGGGGAAAAATGCGTTATGTTTGCAAGGAAAAAAAACCAATTAAAGTGTGTACTTTTAATAAAAATTGATAAGGGGAATAAGCATATACAAAGCTTAAATAATGGACGGCCTATGATTAAACACAAGCTTTAACCAAACAATACAATTAGTTAGTAACTTTATAACATGTTCCTAAGACTACCATAATTGCTTAACTACAAAGGAATCCAGCGATTAATTAGTGGCTTAATTGCAAAGTGTCTGCCTGACCAACTAAATCAATTATAAAGTGATTCAAAATATTTTTCGCAAGCCTCGTTTGTGGCATGCCACATCATTTTCATGCCAATCACCTCACAATATTGAGTCACTTTGCGGCTGGCCACAAAAGCAAATTCGCCAGGCGCAGATTGGAATTCTCCAGGGATTTGCAGTCTTATCGATTTGCCCAACGTCTCAATTAAATAAACATTTTTAATCAAATTGAGAGGCTCGAGCAGACAAATATTTGCCAGTGCCATTGGATTGATTAGCATGTATGCAAATAAATAAAATGTAAGCAAGTAAACATATATTTGACAGCTCCATCTTTGAATAGTTTGCGAAAACTAAACTGCAGCTGTCGGCCAAGTATTAAATTTCCTTTTCTCTGGCTGCTGAATAATTACAATTAAAATGCACAAAAGCCGCAAGAGCCATAGTGCATGTATAATACTTCGACAGAATTCCAGTCACAATATTGAGAATATTTTTGCACGCAATGCGGCTTGTTTATGCGTTTGCCGAAGCGTAAAAAGTCGCACAATGTGACAGTTAAATATTGTGGGTTATATATATGTTTTTACGATCCCCATGCACGTTCCACGACCAGGCGGCAATAACAGGGAAGCAAAAAGTTAATTAAGTTCTTAAAGGACTCATTTTTTTCTGCTGCCATTTCTCGACCCTTCCCGGTCTCTGTGTGCTTTGCATATCTCAGCGAAAACGGCGACACCACGTGGAAATGGAAATGGACGAGCACCTCGCACGGAGGTGCACGGAGGTGAAGCAGCTCACATAAATTGATTCCATACAAAACCGTATAATTCATTCTCGTTTCGTTTCGTTTCGTTTGCACCTCGATACCCGGCTGCATTGTCCAACGGATGGCTTCCTCCGGCTGCTGGGTCTTAACCCGCCGGATTACCATCGCATCCGCACTCGCCGGACAATATAATAAATCATGCAGGCCAACGGGCCAAAATTGTCCCGGCAAATCAACTTTATTTCGGCAAATGTGATGAAAACGTTTTAAAGTTGAACTAAGAGCACGAATATAAATCTTTAAGAATGGTTTCCATTGTATTCCCTCTTAAAAGTTGTAAATGAATAGGTAGTAAAATATAGAATAACTATACAAATAAAGTTATAAAAGCTTAAAACATTTACCTAACAATATTTATAAAATATGTAACCCGTATGCATACAAAAAAAATTAATGATGGCTTAATAGTTTTATTTAATTATAAAAAATTTAAATGTTTTGAGTCTATAATGTACATGTATCAACTAAATATATTAAACACGTTCCATATTTTTAAATTAGCAGTGAAAGCCCATCAAATCCAAGTTCATTTTTATGCCATGGTCTTTTTAAACCTTTATTAAGGTGCTCGTTTTGCAGATTTTTTTCTGCACTTTTCCTTCACACTTCAGGCGTTTGTTGATTTAAAATTCCGGCTTCCTGGTAATTAGTTTACTAACCATTAACACCACACCGGTGACACCGCCCCCAGGAACTCTCCTCTTTTTGTAGGTTTGCAGAACCGAGACTTGGAATTTCGCTCACGTAAGGAGTTGCCGTCGCGACTTTGGGCCAACTCGGCGGGGAATTTGCTCCAAGTCAATTTATATCAAGTGCGAAAAACGGACAACAGCCGTTCGGAGGGTAACGTTTTGAGAGGTGACAGGTGAGCAAAGCTCTTGGCCTTCTCATAACTCAGGGGCTGGAACCTCCCTTTCCCCAGGCAGCTACCAAATTTAATTACGGCTACATATTAGTTAGAAGTTGCATAAACAAGAAACAGGGCGTGGTCGGTAGTTCGGTGAAGTGTTTTGCAATTTCAGCAGGCGCCCAAATTGCAGGGCATCACCGCCCACTGGCTGTCACTTCAGTTTCCCGGCTAGCTGGACAAACTTGAGCCAATTTTATGCTGCAACCCACAAGATGAAAAAAAGGACCAGCCAACTGACGTCTATTACTTGCCTTCTCAGCTCAACGGCTCCTTGGGTTGGTTGGTTGGATGGCTGTATGTATTTGGCCGGGGCTACTCACTGTCTGGGCCAGGGCCATAAATTATTAAATTTTAACAAGTTTTTATGCAACGGCAACATCCTGTCTCCTTGTCTGGCAGCCATCTCCCCCT